CCCAAAACCCCAAAACCCCAAAACCCCAAAACCCCTATTAAAGTCAAATAAATGAATATTGATCATCAATCTCTTCTATAAGTATGGAGATGAGCAAAAATGAAGATTTTGATAATTCTAGAAAATTAGATTTCTTCAGAAAGAAATTCACAATGTAAACCAGACTTAGGAAAATGGCATACACAGCAGGGCTTGTTTATAAGTCCTTTTATCTTGGCATTGCGACCTATATTTTTGGTCTATAAAGTCCATAGATAGGACTTTAGCAATAAAATTTGCTTATTTGAATACTAGCGTTTGGTTAACGAGAGTCTTATCTTTGACACTGTAAACCCAAAATGATAGATTTAAAATAAATGATGTTATATGTACAATTATTTAAGACTCAAGCTCTTTTCTTTCCTCTTTCCATTTCCTGAAATGAATGAATAAGGCTTCTTCATGCTCAGATCCTGCTACACATGTGGAAACAAGAATTGATGAGACAAGATATGGGTCGATATTTGAAGGAGGTCGACTATCCTCAATATACCCTTTCTTCTCAATCTCGACGTTTGATGGAATTCTGATTGATGCTCCTCTATCTCCCACTCCACAGGTGAACTTCTCGATGGAACAAGTCTCGTTTTTGCCTGTGAGTCTTTTCTCATTGTCTTCACCATATAGTTCCATATGTTCTTTTTGCTTTTCAGATAACTTTTCGACAGCTTCATAAATCTCCTTTATACCTCCTTCTTGCCTCATTGATTCGGTGGAAAACTTGGTATGGCAGCCTGCACCAGCCCAGTCACCCTTAATTGGTTTTGGATCATAGGAAATGGAGATGCCAAAGTCTTCACCAATTCTCCCGAGGAGGTATCTAGCAATCCAGAGGTGATCACCAATGGTTACTCCTTCACAAGGTCCAATTTGGAACTCCCACTGCCCAAGCATGACTTCAGCGTTGGTTCCTGAGATGTTCACACCAGCTGCTAAACAGGCTCTGTAATGAGCGTCCATGATGGCTCTTCCATGACAAGCTGATGCTCCAACAGAGCAATAGTATGGTCCTTCCTTGGCAGGGTAGCCACCTTCTGGCCACCCAAGAAGTGTTTTGGTGAAGGCATTATTTGTTTCAAACAAGTAATATTCCTGCTCAATTCCGAACCATGGATGCTCACTCTCTGCTGCTTCAAAAATGGGAAGGGAGAAGTCTCTAAAGTTTGTATTTGCAGGTCTCAGCTTGGTTCTTTCCTCATCAGCCCGTACATATGTAGCACACATTACTAGAATGTTATCTCCACCTCTGAATGGATCATGGAAGATGGCCACAGGCTTAATCGTCACCTCAGAGTCTTCAGTAGATGCTTGTTGTGTGGAAGAGCCATCAAAGTTCCAGTCAGGAAGGTCAGAGAGGGACTCAACCGTTCCAGATAGCGTCCTAGATTTTGACCTAATATTGATGGCAGTTTCATCTATCCAGATGTACTCTGCTACAGAAGATGCTTTTTGTGGAAGCATCTTCTGGCTAGGATCTGAGCCAGACGTAGCTCAGGTACGAGTTACGCCAGTTCAGATCCTAGAAGAAGAGCCGAACCAGCGTAACTCTTTCCTGAGCTACGTCTAGCTCGGGAATTAGCCAGAAGATACTTCCACAAAAGGTGTCTTCTGTATGATCTTATCATTTTGTTCCCAGTTGCAGAAATTTGAAGAGTATACTCCGTAATATTGTTTCATAATTAATTAAATGGTGAATATCAAAATTTCTTTTATATACTGGGGTTTTGGGGTTTTGGGGTTTTGGGGTTTTGGGG